TAGGCGGTCCAGCCCCAAAGCTGTCGGACTGGGGTGAGGAGAGGTGATTGTTAATGGTGCTATAAAACAGCTCAGAAAAGCAGCTGGAAGGCGGGGGGGGGGAGAGAAACAGATAATAACCCATCATTTTGCTTGAGGGGGAAGGCAGAGACATGGACTCTCTGTTCTTTTCTGATCTTTAGATTCTGCGCTCGACTATTGAGGTGGCTCTGGAGTAGGAACATGATAAAGAATATTCATACATTTTCTTAACCTTGATCAGAAAAAGTATCTTGACATGTCAAGCCTTCAGGAAAAAATTGTCAGTCAGAATAAGACTCCCCCAGCCCCCCCCGCCCATGCAAGAGTGAGGAAACACTCTTTTAAAATCATCAGTAGCAGAAATGACAGAAAAGATATTTTGTACGTTGTGTTTTGTGCAAAGGGCCTGGCTGGATTGCTCAGTGGTTAAGGTATTGGGCTGTGGAGCCAGAGGTTGGGAGTTCAATTCCTGCACTGGGTTTCTTTGGGAGAACAGCCAGCCTGGGTGGCTTTGGGCCAGCTGCACAATAGTCCCAGGGTGCCCCCAGAGGAAGAGAATGGTAATGCACTTCTGAGTATTCTCTGTCTGGAAAACCCTGAAAAGGGTTGTCATAAATCAGAATTGACTTAACAGCATACAATGTTGATGATCTGCAAAATGTTTTTTGCACACACACCCCTGTTTTATTCCTTTATCTCACCAGAAGACAGATATAAATGAATCTACCAAACAATAGATAACTGAAAGTATTGTGGTCACATCCTTATAGTAGTGAAATAATGACTTCAAAAATTATTCCACAAAAGGAGTGAAACAGACTTTGGAAAAGGCAATTTTCTTGAACTACAACAGCTGGCTTAGGAAGCGGTGAGTTATCATTCAGAAAAGTAATTCATCAAAACTCTGGAATGAACCTATGCTCCCTTCCATTACGATTGTACTACAACTTAGTTGCCCCTTAGTTACTGCAAAAATAAATGAATTTTAAGTAACTCGTGATTTGTAACTAGCTGCTTCTAGGGGTTTCCAGGAAGGGCAGCATGCTGCAGGAAAAAACATCAAAGAGGCTTACATAGTCTCCAATATTCACCAATTTTATTTGAAGTGGGCCACCATTCAGGAAAGCTTATGCCCAGTTCAACTTGATTGTCTTTAAGGTGCCATGAGACTTTTTCCCATTTCAGTCTCTTCCTTGTGCTCAGGAGGAGCCCTGCAGATCCAGCCCCCCTGACCCCGAAGGCCGGCCAAATGGGCACCCTTCCAAACTCTTCCCACGGAAGGCAAGCGACACCCATTGGAACCAGCCTTCCATCTTTGGGGCCATCTGGGCAGGCTATTAGCACAGCCTAAAGTTCTTAACTCCAGAGGTCAGGCTGCTGGGTGGACAAAGCAGATTTTCTTGAGCTGCAAATCCTGCCTGCTCCATCCAAGGGATAAAGGGACACAGAAAGAGAGAAGGAGAATTATCCCAATGTGGGGCCTAGTGAGTTATTTGAAACTATTTCTGATGGGTTTACGGCCAAAGGGAGACGTCTGAGCCGGCTGGTACCAGACATTCTGATGAACCATAGAAAAGCCCTATTTTAAGCCTGCCAATCTCTAATATTCTCCCCTTTTAAACAACAACAACAACAACAACACAGCTTAGATACAGCTCCGTAGAGTTATCTTCCTCTCTTCCCTGACAAGGCCATTATCAGACAGGGAGAAAACCACACATGGGCGAGCATGAATAGCTTGCTCTCAGCCACCTTTCTCTCCATTCAGCTGGAATACAAAGAGGTGCAGGGAGGAAATAATATATACCCAGCCCAATCACCGACTCCCAGTCCTATTGTTTGGGACTGAATATGCCCACCAGCCTCCCTTTTGCCTTTTGAAAGTTTTGGGATCCTTCGGCAAGAGAGCCAATGCAACCGGCAGTGAATGAGAGGAAGCCCTGATGACAAATGCCATTAAGCTGATGAGGGAGGGGGGCTCTTTTGTTCTCAGATGCAAGTTTGGAAGTGGAGCTCCTGAAGGCAAGAAGGAATATTGTCACAGTGTCACACAAAAGGCAATGATGTAATGATGTGGAAGACACACATGGAAGGGTAGAAGAGAAGGAAAACCTGGTGGATAAAGCTAAATACTAGAGGGATGAATCCCAGGTCCTTTTCCAACCACAAATCCTCCATGTAGGACCATCAATGTTGACCAACTCATGGATTAAAATAAGCTTAGTCTACAAAACTAGCAGTAAGGACCACTGACCATGTAGGACCATCAATGTTGACCAACTCGTAGATTAAAATAAGCTTAGTCTACAATACTAGCAGTAAGGACCACTGAAACCATCCATCCATCCATCCATCCATCCATCCATCCATCCATCCATCCATCCATCCATCCATCCATCCATCCA